CTTACATTAGGAGGTGCCTTAGGCAAAATTGGGGGATTAAGAACGGGAGGAGGAAGTTTGGGAGAAAATGGTGGATATGTAGTGGGAGAAGGCGTYTTAGGCACCTCTATATGCGGGGCAGGCAATGTAGGTACATGAGGTGGAYTTTCAWTAGTWRGAGGTGGTTTWGTTATAATTGGTGGACTGAGAATGGATGGCGGAAGCTTCGGTGTAAATGGTGGATATTTAGTAGGAGGAGGCATCTTAGGAACCTGTGTATGTGGGGGTGGAAATATTGATACATGAGGTGGACTTAAAATAGTAGGCGGCTTTGGTAGAGATGGTGGATTTAGAACTGGAGGAGGTAGTTTAGGCACTTGTGTCTGTGGGGGGGGAAGTTTAGGAACACGAGGGGGACTTACATTTGGAGGTGTCTTAGGCATAAATGCGGGGTTGACAACGGGAGGAGGAAGTTTGGGTTGAAATGGTGGATATGTAGTCGGAGAAGGCATCTTAGGCACCTCTATATGCGGGGGAAGCAATGTAGGTACATGAGGTGGACTTACAATAGTAGTTGGTGGTTTAGATATAATTGGTGGACTGAGAATGGATGGAGGAAGCTTTGGTATAAATGGTGGATATTTAGTAGGAGGAGGCATCTTAGGAACCTGTGTAAGTGGGGGTGGAAATATTGCTACATGAGGTGGACTTAAAATAGTTGGCGGCTTTGGTAGAGAAGGCGGATTTAGAACAGCAGGAGGTAGTTTAGACACTTGTGTCTGTGGAGGGGTAAGTTTAGGAACACGAGGGGGACTAACATTAGGAGGTGCCTTTGGCAAAACTGGGGGATTAAGAATGGGAGGAGGAAGTTTGGGTGAAAATGGTGGATATGTAGGGGGAGAAGGCATCTTAGGCACCTTGAGATGCGGGGGAGGCAATGTAGGTACATGAGGTGGACTTATAATAGTAGGAGGTGATTTAGATATAATTGGTGGACTGGGAATGGATGGAGGAAACTTCGGTCTAAATGGTGGATATTTAGTAGGAGGAGGCATCTTAGGAACCTGTGTAAGTAGGGGTGGAAATATTACTACATGAGGTGGACTTAAAATAGTAGGCGGATTAAGAACTGGAGGAGGTAGTTTAGGCACTTGTGTATGTGGAGGAGGAAGTTTAGGAACATAAGGAGGACTTATATTAGGTGTCTTAGGCATAACTGGGGGATTGAGAATTGGAGGAGGAAGTTTGGGTTGAAATGGCGGATATGTTGTGGGAGAAGGCATCTTAGGCACCTCAATATGTGGGGGAGGTAATGTAGGTACATGAGGTGGACTTACAATAGTAGGAGGTGGTTTAGATGTAATGGGTGGAGGAAGCTTTGGTGTAAATGGTGGATATTTAGTAGGGGGACGCATCTTAGGAAGCAGTGTAAGTGGGGGAGGAAATATTGCTACATGAGGTGGACTTAAAATAGTAGGCGGCTTTGGTAGAGATGGCGGATTCAGAACTGGAGGAGGTAGTTTAGGAACTTGTGTATGTGGGGGAGAAAGTTTAGGAACATGAGGAGGACTTACATTAGGAGGTGTCTTAGGCATAGCTGGGGGATTGAGAACGGGAGGAGGAAGTTTGGGTAAAAATGGTGAATATGTAGTGGGAGAAGGCGTCTTAGGCACCTCTATATGCGGGGGAGGCAATGTAGGTACACGAGGTGCACTTACAATAGTAGGAGGTGGTTTAGTTGTAATAGGTGGACTGAGAATGGGTGAAGGAAGCTTTGGTGTAAATGGTGGATATTTAGTAGGGGGAGGCATCTTAGGAACCTGTGTAAGTGGAGGTGGAAAAATTGCTACATGAGGTGGACTTAAAATAGTAGGCGGCTTTGGTAGAGATGGCGGATTCATAAGCAAAGGAGGTAGTTCAGGAACTTTTGTATGTGGGGGAGGAAGATTATGAACAAGAGGAGGACTTACATTGGGAGGTGTCTTACGCATAACTGGCGGATTGAGAACGGGAGGACGAAGTTTTGGTGAAAATGGTGGATATGTAGTGGGAGAAGGTGCCTTAGGCACCTCTATATGCGGCGGGGGCAATGTAGGTATATAAGGTGGACTTACAACAGTAGGAGGTGGTTTAGATATAATTGGTGGACTGAGAATGGATGGAGGAAGCTTCGGTGTAAATGGTGAATATTTAGTAGGAGAAGGCATCTTAGGAACCTGTGTATATGGGGGTGGAAATATTGGTACAAGCGGTGGACTTAAAATAATAGGTGGCTTTGATAGAGATGGCGGATTCAAAACTGGGGGAGGTAGTTTAGGCACTTGTGTATGTGGGGGAGCAAGTTTAGGAACAAGAGGAGGACTTACATTAGGAGGTGTCTTCGGCATAAATGGGGGATTGAGAATGGGCGGAGGAAGTTTTGGTGAAAATGGTGGATATGTAGTGGGAGAAGGCGTCTTAGGCACCTCTATATGCGGGGGAGGCAATGTAGGTACATGAGGTGGACTTACAGTTGTAGGTGGTGGTTTAGATATAATTGGTGGACTGAGAATGGATGGAGGAAGCTTCGGTGTAAATGGTGGATATTTAGTAGGAGGAGGCATCTTAGGAACCTGTGTAAGTGGGGGTGGAAATATTG